CCAAGGAGGAGGTGTCAGGTCCCAGCAGAGACTGTCCAGGATCAGGCCATGTCTCACCAGGAAAGGATACTGTGATGCTGGAGAGAGGAGGCACGATGCTGGGATCAGGGCAGACCCCTGCAGCCTCCTTCAGCTCCAACTTCTTCCTCATCTTTAAAGTTCAAAGCTGGAAAAAATCCTGTCCAACCTTTTCCCCATAGGGCCATGCTGTCATCCCTGCCTGACCTTGGGACACCTGCCTGCGCAGAGCCAAATGCCTGCCCTAGGAGATAGGCAGTGCTGGAGAATCCACAGAGAACCAAGATGACAGGCTGCTGGGAAGCTGACATTGGCATCACCAGACTGGCTCATCTGTGCCAGTCCCCTTGGCCATAGCCTTGTGGTCAGAGGCAAATGATTCCCTCCCAAGGGGCTGGAGGGGCTGAGAATGGCTCTCCTGTACTCCAAAGAGTGTTGAGAATATCCTTTTGGAGGGAGCTGGGTCTTGCAGGAGCAAGCAGGGACAGGCATGGTGCATGGTGTGGCATGTGCTGCTGCCAGCCCTGCTGAGCCATGCCAACACAGTGTGCTGTGGCAGAGCCCCTGTGAGCCTGGTCTGCTGGGACACAGGCCCCAAGTCTGCTGGGTCATGGGGTGGGGGTCGCAAGGTATTGAGATGCCCATGATGGAGACCACAGCAGGCTGAGCTGGCTGCCTGCCTGACATCTTCCCAGGGGTAGGAGGATTTGGGTATGCCAAGATCAGCACCTCCCAGCAGTACAAGCTACTCCCTGCCACTGAAACAGCATCTCCCCAGCACCTTGGTGGTGTGCAGGGCTTGCAACCAACACTGCAGGCCACACATCAGGCCATGTGCAGCTCTGTCTTGTGGGAGCAAAGCAAAGAAAGCCTGGTGCACGGTTCTGGAGGGCAGGGGGACTCTCCCGGCCCCCTCCATGGCAGAGCTGTCCCAAGGCCAGAAGAAGGAGAGTGGGACAGCTCAGTCCTACACCCACACCTCTCTCATGCTCACTCACGGCCCCTCTACCCATCAATATGTCCTTGTTGCTTCAGCCCACTCAACCAGCTGGAATGTCTGCCCTGGCCCTGCCACCTCGGGATGCCCTTTATGCCCTGGCTCCTCTCCTCCTGCATTGCTGCCGCAAAATGACACCCGACAGACAGGAACAAGTGGTGCTGTGACACAAATGCCATTCTGGTACTGCTGCCCTGGCAGCTCTTCCTTGCTGGCCTAACCTTACAGCGGGAAAGGCAGTGCTGCCCTTGCTTTGCCCAAATTCATGCTTCCCCAGCCCCTCACACAGAACTTCCCTGCCTCCCTGTGACTCCTGTGGCTTGCCCAGGCCTGGGAGAAAGCGGCCCTCAGCTCCTTTCATGGCTCCGACCAAAGGATGGGTCCTGTTGAATGGAGCAGCAGGTCTGGCAGTGCCTACAGATGATCTGGCTATGCAGAGGTATCCCCTCACAGCCTGGAGCAGGATGGGCACAGGCTGGCCAGGCTGCCAGGTGTTGCCCAGGAGTGGCTGGGCAGGAATGCTGGCACGGCTGGCTGATGTGGGCAAGCGGGCTGGTATGTACCTCCTCTTCCCACCCAGAGCCACGCAGTGCCACTTGGATCACAGGCTAGCACACGCCCAGCGTTCTGCTTCCCCTGCAGTGCCGACCTCCTCCCACATGCCTGGCTCCCCTCAGCCACCTGGCCCAGGAAAAGGTGCCATGTGGTCATGGGCCTGCTCTCCCTGGTCTACACTCAGTTGGGCTTGTGTTTGGGTCTGGGATAATGTTGGCATTACAGAGGGATGGCAAAGACTTTTCTGCCCCCTTCACTGGCACCTGCAGGGAGAAGGTGTGCCCAGCCAGGGTGGTGGCAGCTGTCCTCCCTATAGCTGGTGCTTCCATGTGCGCACGGTCCCTTGGCACTGCTGAGACTTCCCTGGAAAGCAGTTTGTGATGCCCTATGTGATGACATGGTGGGAAGAAGCCCTTTCTGCACAGGATCCCATGCACTCCTGAAACAGCAGGGCTTTCTGCAGGAGCATGAGCCCTGGAGGCAATTGGTCCAGAGTATGCCTTCCTTGTGCATCCCTGACAACATCCCTGCTTTGAGTAAAGGGCATGGAGAGCCTGGCAGGGACCACCCAGCCAGAGAAGCCCCCAGAGACAGGTTAGACATGCTGAAATGTGTGTTGTCTGAGAAGCCCAGCATTGACCTGACCCTGACTGAGTTGTCAGCCAGGGCCAACCAGGCCCAGAGCCAGACTCAACTCCGGGTTTAGGATCTTGGGCATCCCATGCTGTCCTGGATGTCAGCCACACATGAGGATGTGTATCCACACAACTTTGCCTTCCTCCTGTATTGCTGTAGGAGCACATCAGCCAAAACAGTGGTCACCAAATGGTTTGGGTACCCTGGTGCCAGCAGCAGGGTGCCCTTAACAGGCATGTTATCGGGGTGTTCCTCTGACACCCACAATCCTCTGCTGTGTATGCTATCTCCTCTTGGATGTGTTGGCTCATTCCCCAGAAGGAGAAAGTTCAGGCTGGAGCAAAACAACTGCAAACACAGGTGTGGGCACACCTGGCTCCAGTGCCTGGGGCCATGCACCTAGCTCCCCCATGCTGTGCCACCTAGGGGTGATGGGAGATCACCCAGGCAGCCTCCAGACCAAGGTGCCTGGACACTGGGTGTGACAGAGGGACATAGCTTTGCCACCATAGCACAGCCAGTGACAAACACAACGCATGGAGCCTCTTGGGACACATCACACAGCAGGGCATGGAAGACAGGCAGCAAGGAGTGCTAAGGCACACTGACAAAGAAATCCTTGTCCCTTGGCATCTCTGCTCACTCCCTACCTCACCAGGAGCACCACAGATCCCACTCCAGCAGCGATGAGTTTGAAAGCAGCCTGCTGTGCCCATATCAGTGGCCTCTGGCCCACAGGCACTGTCACTGGCTGCCCCAGTGAGCCGCCCAGGTGCTTGGCTCTGACCCCAGCCCTGGCAGCCCGTGCTGAGGACAATGTCTGTCTTTCCCCTTCACCCACGGTGCCAGTTTGCTGCAGCCTCCCAGGGAGGAGGGGAACCTCTCACTCCTGTTCCTTCTCAGCTGGGTAGGTTCACTGCTCCCCGTACGGGCCAGGCACCAGCGCTTTGGCAGGTGTCCCAGCTCCTCCCTTCCCACCTGAGCGGCAGCTTGGCGTTATGTAAGTGCAGGAAGAGCAAGGCTGGCTCGAGGCAGCAGCCTCTCGGCGTCAGACGCTGCTGGGCGAGGAGGCGGGAGTGCGCCGGGGTGGCTCGCGCATGGGGCAGCCACGTGTGCGCCCACCCGCCTGCCGCTCCGCGCACAGCCCGCGAGCACGCCCACGGCGCGTGTGGAGGGAAGGGGAGGGCGAGGTGTCTCTGAACGTGTGGGTGCTGCTCCCCGTGCACATTTCCCACCCATGGCGGAGCAGCAAGCCCCAGAGCCGCTGCCCACCGTGCCAGCCAGGCAAACATCTGTACCTGACACACTGATGGGCCACAGGTCTCCTCAGGGTAGTGGACGTGTCCCACCTGCTGAAGACACTGGAAGTCTCGGGCACCTGCGGCACTACTGGCCCAGTTCGGTTCTCTCAGGCTGAACTGGGGATACCCAGACCTGCTAGACCCCGTACAGGCTGCTCCCCTACAGGGTGTCACCAGCTCTCTGTCACCAGAGCCAGCCCCACACAGCGCCAGTGCAGGACCTGAGACAGCTCTGTCCACTCCTCGCCTCTGGGGTTCACCTCATCAAGGCCGGGGAGCCTGCAGAGTGGTAGCACCTGGGACCTGCTGTTCAGTCTCCTCTGTTCTCACTGCTAGAGAAGGGAGCAGGGCAGACCCCACAGTCCTCCCTCCTCAGTCTGCCAGGGAATGGATGGGAGCAGCCCCCAGCACATTCAGCCTGCCCAGAGCAACCCCGAGACCAGCTCGGGCAGGGCAGAGCCACTTTCCAGGGATGGGAAGTACCACTCCGGGCCAAACCTGCGTCCACTCCGGGGAGGGCCAGGGAAGCTGCCAAAAGGGCAGGAGCTGGCACTGGGACTCTCGGGCTCCCTACCCGGGCTCTCAGTGACGCTCAAGATGGCTTTTGAGGCAGCACAGCTGCTTCCCAAGGAACCTGCTGCGCTCTCCACGAAGGATGGGGCCGATGCCTGTGTGCCGCTGGACACTGTCCATGCCCCTGCGGGCAGTGTCTGTGTAGACAGAGGTAGCCAGGGAGATGAGCACAGAGTCCAGCGGCCAAGACACACAGCTGGGGGCTGTTGTCACTGCCCGGCAGACACAGGGCACCACAAGACAGGCACGGCGGGCATGGCAGAGCACCCAGAGATGGGCTGGCACCACGTAGGGACTCTGTGCCAGACGCGGCCTCTCCCCACCCAGATTCCACCGCCGCTGACACCCCCCAGCCCCGGGGTGACACAAGTCCCTTTCTCTTGCCAGCCCCGCACCGCTGCCAGCTCCGAGCCCGCTGCCCCGGGGCGCCCGGCCCCCGGCAGCTCACAGGCTCCTGGCGGTGACACCCACCTGTGGAAGAGGAGCAGGATGGAGAGCAGGGTCTGGTCGATATTCCTGTTGCAGATACCCTGGTTGAAGAGGTAGCAGGGGTCCCGCACGACGGGTTCCAGCGAGTCCTGGCGCATGATGGAGCTCAGCTTGTCGGTGTTGAGGTTCTGTCGGACCAGCTGCTCCCGCAGCTGCCGGAAGCTGCTCACGGTGGGGCTGCCCGGGTTGTTGTTCTCGCCGCCGGCCCCCTCCTCCAGCCCGCTCCGGTTGGCCAGATCCAGGCAGCAGCTGCAGCAGTCCAGCCCCACGGGCGACCGGCACTCCTCCGCAGGCGACGAGGACATCCCGGGGGGCCCCGCGCCTGGCCACGGCGGCGCCGCCGGGGCCGCTCCCGGGGCCGCGGAGGGCGAGCGGCTGCAGGACGCCCGCCCCCGTTCCGCCCCGTCCCCGTTCCGCCCGCCCCGGTTCCGCCCCGTCCCAGCGCATCCTGCCTCTGCTCCGCTCCTCTCCTCCGCTCGCCGCTCCGCCCCGGCCCCGCTCCGCCCCGGCCCAGCCGCTCTCCGCCCGCCCCGAGCGGCCGTTCCCCGGCAGCGCACCCACCCCACGCTTGGGTCCGGGAGAAGCTGGCGAGTTGGAACATGAGGTGACGTGGGGTGACGAAGGACCACGATGCCCCTTTCCCGGTGGGGACCCTCGCCCGGCTCTCTGCTTTCCGGGGGTGGCGTGGGTGCTCAGGAGGCTGGCGCTGCCCGCGGCATCACTCCTAAAGCATTGGCGCGGGCAGCCCGCGTGGCTCCGGAGACGGGGCAGGAAATAGGAAAAAGGGGATGAAAGGTCCCAGGACGGGGGGGAAAGCCAGGAAGGACCTGGCTTCACTGCTGGGAACGTCTGGTGCTGTCTCGCCCGAAGCCAAGCCAGGCGTGGGTGAAACGCACGAAGCCTTGTGGCTATGGATGTTGGGCACGTTGCGAGTCTCGGCAGATGCCTGGGGATCGGGGATATACAAGGGAAAAAGGGATTTCTAGAAGGAGGAGTAGTGACTTCCTGGCACTGTTGCATCTCAAGGTGAACATTTCTGCCACCACTGAACCGCAGTGGGGGGCTAGTGAAGAGTGATTGGGGCACATGGTGCTGTCCTGGTGGAGCTGGGGTATGGGACAACACCTCGGAGAGGTGGGGACCACTGGGCCGGGACCCTCGGAATGAGATTCGGGAAGGTGACAAGGTGCTGCGAGGCTGGACTGCTATCACTGCAGGTCAGTGAGCTCCGAGGACCAGCCCGAGTAGCCCTCACCCCTCAGAGAGATGAGGAACTGGGAGCTGGTGGGGAAGGGCTGGGCAAGGGTCCAAGGAAGCAGAGCTGTCGAGGGGAGGAGCAGGCAGGCTGGGGAAGCCCGCCATGGGCAGGCAGGATGCAGGGACGGCAGGTGGGTCTGTACAACGGGGTTGCGAAAGGGCTGGTGGAAGGAACTGCAGGAAGCAGTGATCAGAGGATTGCAGCATGTCTGAAGGGCACGGGATTGATAAGAGGTAAACCGGGTCAAAATCTGGCTGGGCAAAGCCACTAGGGCACTTGAACATCAGAGGTCCTGGTGGCAGCACAGTGCCCGCTGGGGTTGTTAACGGGGTAGCTGCTGCCACTGAAGGAGTGGCAGGAGCGTCCAACAAACATTCCTGTTCTCTGCTTCGCATGAAGAAGGAAGATGCATGCCATGAGAATGAAGCAGTTCCAGGCCATTATTAACCTGGGGCATCACGAGACTCCCAGATCCACCACAGATCCACAGCTGGGAGAGCGGCCACGGTGAACTCGGGCAGGGCTTCCCATGCCAGGCCCCATCGGACCTGGGGACCAGCAGGATCCAGCTCTGTGGAGGTGGCACCAGCCTGGGGTCCAAGTGTGGGCAGGGGAAACTGTCAGCCTGGGATGGTGCTGAAAACAGGTGAATTCCTAAAGGACGGATGACCCACAAGTGCTCCAGGAGTGTCCTCTCCTATGCACTGGTGGATGCTGAGGGCTGTTTTTAAGGTGCTTCCTCAGCCCTTCTTGTGGGCAATGAAAGAAGGAAGGGAATTGAGTCTTACCCATCTGCCCTGTGGCATTGTTGCGAGGACGCACGGAAACAGGAGGGCGCTGAGATGTCTTCCATCTTTTCGGTTTCAGAACGGCCCCCGCGAGCTGCACTCGGCTGCACCCAGGGCGGAGCTGCGCCCCACGCCGCGCTCCGTGGGCGGGTGCCCGCGGGCCCGCGGGAGGCTGCTGCCATCCCGTGGGCACAGGGGGAAGGACGAGCTCAGGGCTGGCACCCCTTCCTCGGCCCCAGCTCCCCCAGTGGCTCTGCCCCGGGCCCGCAACGTCCTGCCCGGCCCTGACGGCACTGGAGGTGGCTCCGGGTGCAGGTCGTTGACTCCTCCAGGCTCCTTGTGCCCTCTGGCTGTCGCCCCCATTCCCTCTAGCTGCAACACAGCTGCCCACAGGGCTTGGGGCTGCCACCCAGCCATCAGCTCCTTGCTCCTCATCGGCAGCCAGCACGCATCATGGGCTACCATCTTCTCATGTGCAAGCCACGATGAGCTCTCTAAAGCCCCAGATCCGAGAGCCACATCCTGGTTCAAGGTGATCAGCTGGTGGCGGCAGCTGGAAAGTAGGTTTCTTATGTTTAGCTCTGGCCTTTTTGGGTCCTGCTGTTCATGGGACTGGGACAGTGCTAGTTTCTGCACTCCCGCTTCCCTCAAGGGCACCCACGTGCTCCACACTCAGACATGTCATTGCAGCCCTAAGCCACAACTGGCACATGGTAGCATGCTGAAGGCAGTGAGGACTCAGAGCTGAGGCTCTGGGGCAGGGCAGGGACAGCTTTGGCCCAGAAGTCTATTGCACACAAAGGGGCAAAGGGGCTTTATGTTAATCCCTCGGCTCTGAAAGGGATTCCCTACGCCTGGCTGAAATGCAGGATGTTCTGCTCCCAGCTCAGGGCAGGGACTCTGGTCCTGCCTCGACTTCTCCTGCAGCCCCCTGGACAAGAGGGGGTAGTGAATTGGGAAGGAGAGAACAGGGGGAATGTGTGGGGCTGTGGGGGCCTGGGTTCAGCCAGCCCTGTGCCAGCCATGTCCCCAGCCATGTGCCATCTGTCTGTCTGGTGCCTGTCCAGGTCCCCCAGCCAGAGCCCCTCTCCCCAGTGCTCACTTTGGGAAGGCCCTCCCTGTGGAGTCTGGGAGAGAAGATGCAGCAGCCTGTCCTGTTCTCAGGTGGTATCCAGATCATCTCTCCTCAAAGACCCCGCTGCAGCTGCGTCAGAGCCAGGTAGGACTCTGGGTGCAATCTGCCTGTCCTGCCTTCCCTGTTCCTTCCCCATTGGTGCAGTGGTGAGAGCTGGCTCATGCCACTGGGCCGTCTGCTCCAGGGGAGCCCACCAGTGCCAGGCCCCCTGCCAGGCGACCCCCCCGCGCCTCCACGGGTGCTAAGAATAACCAGCGCCGTCAGCAGCCGTGGTATTTGCAGGCACCGCCAGTGCCACCCCCATGCCAGCCTGCTGGGCACAGGATCCATCTGCTCCCTGACGTAAGTCAGCAGCCATGGGGGGAGATGGGTGGGCAGTCTTGGGGCCACGTGCGGCTGTGAGGCGTGGTCCTGTCTCCCTGCCCCCCGACCTCAACAGGAGCCAGGATGCTGTGGTGGGACATGGAGGCATTGCTGCCCAGCGCCCAGTATGGGAGCATGTGGAGCTGCCTGCCTTTCTTTTGTCCTGCTTTTCCCAGTGTTCCACAAACAAACACCCTGTTCCCAGCTCTGCAGCACCTCTCGGATATCGGGGTAGCCCCCATGGCTGGTGACAGTAGCTCTGCCTTCCTGCCTGCAGAGGGATGGGGAACTAGCAGGCTCAGTCACCCGGAATCTCCATTAAGGGAGATGAGCCATCCCAGAGGTGGTACAGAGCAGTGTGTGGGGCAGCTCCCCTGAGCACCAGAGCAGCTGTTTCCCTGTGCATGGGGCCACAAGGACCAACGCAGCTCCCTGAGCTTCATGTGTGGTGGAGTCAGAGATCTGCAGCTGGCAGAGGAGTGGGCTGGGGATGCCTCCAGCTGTTGCCACTCTATTATTGGGGTGTCCCACCTGGACTGTTCCCCAGGAATGCAGAGCTGTATTCCACAGGAATGCAGAGCTTCTCCTCTGGGACCCATATGAGCTGCATTTGCCCCTGTGCCCAGGCTCTGAAGAGAGGATTCTGCAGGGACACTGTGCTCCTACCAAGGGCAAACTTAGTGCAGAGCCTTCTTCCCAGGCAGTGATGGTGAGTCATGCAGAACCAGGCTGGGATGTTTTCTTCTCTCTGTGTGACACTCCAGTAAATCATATAGGATGTCCTAGCACTGGGCCAAGGCGACCTCTGGCATGTGGGGCTTCTTGCTCTCCTTTCAGCATGGGGACTCACACAGCCCCAGGAGTGGCCCTGGGCACAATGGTATTGTCAAGGGGCATTTCCTACTGAGACAGAGGGTAGTGAGCTATTCCAATGCAAGGCTTTTCAACTCATTGGTGGGGGGGGCGGTTAAAACCAAGCTGGCATTGATGAAATGCCTGGGGTTGTCTGGCAACAAAGAGGTTAAACTTCCTGTTCATCCACATGGCAAGCACTAATTGTCGTGGAGAAACCATCTTCAAGCTCTGTGAGGAGCACAGCAAAGGGTCATAGGAGCTGCAGGGATGCACTGGGGAAGTATTGAAATCATTATGGCACCCAGCAGTGTGGGTGCTGCTGGCCAGTCTGGCAGAGCATGGGGTGGGCAGGCAGGGCTTAGCTCTGTGCCACTTCGCCTGTTTGGAAATCGGGGTTTGGAGTGAGCAATCTCTGCCCATGGTCTGAGACTGGGGGCACTCCCTTGCAAAGGACAGGTGAGGTTTGGGGTAGAGGTTCAATACGGATGGAGCCACACTGGTCGTTTGGGCATTTTCAGATTTAACTTTTTTTTTTTATTATTGTAAAATAGCCTATGCTTCCCTCTGGTGGGGAAGAATTGCTGTGCCAGTAGGATAAAGTCTATGGCTGCAATTGGACAAGTCATACCACAGTGAAAAACCTTTCCTGGGTACCCACTGCTCTGACAGTGGCTGTGGGCAATGAGCCACCTGCGATGCCACCCACAGGTAATGCCTCTGTCTCCTATGCCTGGAGCCTTGCACTTACCCACTTTCCTGCCTTTATTCCTAGCCTGTGATTCTCAACATGTTCCCAGGTGTCCAGGGATGTTGCTTCCCTCACTGGTCTTAGGAACAGCCGTGTTCCTGCTTGGCCCGGGTGAAATGAACCCAGCGGGTCCCGGAGCTGTTGGTTCTTGCACCACTGGAACAGAGGACACACAGCATGGGGGAAGCTTGGGGAGGAGGTGGGATGGCAGGATGTGGGACATGGGATGCTGGACTCTACGAGGATCATCCCAGGTCAGGCACAGATGGGGCAGCTGAGTTGTTGCAGAGGATACATGAGGTGGTGGGAGCCATCCCTCCTTCCTGCAGTGGACTCAAGAGGACAGAACCTCCCAGGCACGAGTGTGTGTGTGTATGTGTGTGTGCATGCTTCCCTTCCTCATCCTCACTTCCGTGGGGCTTCTCTGTGCTCCAGCTGGTGTTGGCAGTCATGGCAAGTACTGGGAATATCTTATTTTTGGTGGCATTTGAAAGAATGCAAATATTCAATGAGACATTACATCTTTGCCCTGAGACTTGTGAGCTGCCTCCCCACATCAATAAACTCCAGTTTTGAATATTTTGAATGAAGAAGTGGTTTTGGCTGTGAGTCCTTCTTTCCAGCCCTTTTGTGGAAGGGGAAGCAGGGTGTGTGAGTGCTACCTCATGGCTTGCCAACACACCCACCCTGCCAGCTCAGAGCAGCAGCAGTGGATTTAGCCTGAGGTGCTATTGCCTGGCACCTGCTGGTCCTGCAGGTAACCCCATTACTGGTGCCATCACAGACCTAGTGCTGATGTCCCACTCCTCTGGCAGGGCTGCCTGGCATGTTGCTGGAGATGCAACAGATACATCCCCCTCCAGGCTCATCTCTGGGGACTGAATGTCACACGACGGGAGCACAGTGGGCTGCAGGTATGTTTGTTTGGACTGACCCAAGAGCACATTGGACTGTCCTGGCTCCTCCTGGCTGGGTACCAAGCACGCCCTCAGACTCTGAGCCTTGTCTGGAGGGATTTTGGGGATGCTACCCCACTCAGACCCTTCCCTCAGCCCATTTCTTTTGTCCAAACCTCCTATACCTGTCCTCAAATTCTCATGGTGGGCACACAGCAGGTAGGCAGCCTTGGAGACCTTCTTGCCCTGGAGATCTGTGGCAGCATCTCAAGGAGCAGTGCCTGATTTGGCCACCCTCGAAGACACAGAGCTTCTCCTTCAGCCCCCATCTGCCCTGTGCTCACAGCATGCTGGCACCAGGGATCGGGGTTTGCTCAAGGCTCAGCGTAAAAGAATCCCCCCCACCCCTCACCTGGGGTCAATGAGTGCCTCCATCCTTCAGTTTCTCCTGTGAAGGTGGAAGAGCCTCAGTGTCAAAAGTTGCTGGAGGAGGTGTGACGCAGCAGCTGGGCTTCCAAAACCGTCTAATTTGGGACATTAAAAAATAATCATCCCTGCAAAGCAATTAATTTCCCTGGAAAGCCCCTGCAGTTTTGGGATCATTTCTTCCTACACTTGTTAATTTATGGGAGACATTATAAGTGTTAATTTACAGGAGAGATTATAACTTATCACAAAGCAAAAGCAGAAAAGATATGGTTACAATTTCCAATTCTGCCTTTAATTAACACTGGTGGTGCACTGCCCAGCTGTAGCAGTACCAGGAGCTGCCACACAGTAAATCCTGCCTGAAACACTCACTCGAGTGACCACAGAAATGTGGGCTTTATTAATGTGAATAAAGTTGCTTTATGACAATTTAACAATTTAATCGTGTTCAGTGCTTATCCAGTGGATGCCCAAGTGAGTGGACAAAGTCTTGCCCTTGCCAAGTTTTCCATGGTCAGGGATGAAGACGGAGGCTGGCCAAGCTGTGGAGATGAGGTAAGCCTGTTCTGGATGCAGGAATCAAACAGACCTGTGGCTCCAGCTCCTGTCTGAATGTGTCTAGGTGATGGGGGTCTGTGGGGACAGTCCTGCTCACAGCCTGGCCAGGGAAAAGTAAACCTGTCTCCCCCAGATCCTTACATGCTGAGCTGGCTGGCATGGGGCAGTGCCATGGCAGAATGGGGCCTGGCTGCACTGGGGTAGCTGGGGGCTCCCAGGGTGGACAGTCCTTTGAGGTTACATAGAGAAGGAGCTGTACTAATTAATGATATCTCTGTGCTGCTTTTTGGGGAGGGGATGAGTGGGGCTGCCTGTCCCATCGGTGCTGGGGCAGTCTCCCACCTTGGAGTTGCCTACAGTCTTCCTGGGACCAGGAACTGGCTGCCATCTTCCTGTTTATGACACCAGAACGCACACCTTGGAAGATGGGTAGGTAGCAGGAGCTAGAACATGGCACACTGAGCTCTCTTCTGAGGGGTGCGTCCCAAACCCTGCATCCAGACGCAGAGTTGTTGTGGACCCAGCTGTGCTCCAGTGACACCCACATGGCTGACCTGTGCTGTCCCCCACCCAGATCCTTCTGGGAGAGGACATCCTGCTCAGTGCGTGCCTCTGCACCTCGCTTGTCCCCAGCTGCAGGAGCTGGGACCTAAAATAGCCAGCAGGTGTGGCAGGCACAGGGAAGTCCCCGTCCCTGCTCATAGCACAGCCAGCACACGCAGGGCGGAAATAAACACGCCTGTGTGCAGACACCGACACGCGTGTGTGAGCAGCGGCACACAGACACGGACACGCGCGTGGGTTCCCCGTGCTGGGGCAGCTGCAGCCGAGTTTCCATGCCCGCGGAGCAGCCGCTGGATGGCAGCAAGGCCCCGGCAGAAGGAGCGGGGCTGGGGGTGCCGGGCGTGCGGAGCGGGGCTGGGGGTGCCGGGCACCGGGCGTGCGGAGCGGGGCTGGGGGTGCCGGGCACCGGGCGTGCGGAGCGGGGCTGGGGGTGCCGGGCACCGGGCGTGCGGAGCGGGGCCTTGCGGAGCACGAAGGGACCAGAGGAGGGGCGGGCAGGCCCACCGCACCGGGAGTGTCCTGGTGCCAGGGTGTCCTTTATGGAGCCTGGTGAGATCTGAAGGTGAAGGATGGCTGTTGGGCAGCGGTGAACCGGCAGAGCCAGGGAGCTGCGGCAGGGCAGAGGCAAGGGGCAGCCTGGAGGCAGGATCTGATGGGCATGGCACAGGTCCTGCTGCACAGCCCGGCAGTGCTGGGCATTCCCCAGGGGCAGGGGCACAGCACCTACCTGTCCAAAGGCCAGGGGTACAAGGTGCCACAGTGTAAGGGATGGAATCATAGAATCATAATTTTTGTTGGTAAAGACATCTGAGGTCACGGAGTCCAACAATTAGCCCAGCACTGCCCTGGTGCTATTTGGCCCACAAAGCCTCTTGAGCCTTTGATCCTAATTATTGTAGACGTAATGAAAGCACTCTGGCTGCCATCCCTCTGGTAGCCGCTTGTGCAAACACCAGGGGGAAGAACAGCCCTAAGGAATTAAAATTTTCTGGCAGATTCTGTAGCAAACGGCTTTCTGTAGCAAACTAGCTGATTCTACCGATGGCCTTTGCACAGGAAGATGCCTTTGTGCAGGCATGAGCACGACACCCCAGTCTGATCCAGGTGTTTCACACCTCTCTGGCACTTCTGGACTTGGCAAGAGAAAATCAGGTCCCAGGCTGTTGGCTTCAGGAGCCCAGGAGAACATGGAGCTCTTCTGGAAATGCTTCCAGCGAATGAAGGATGCTCCTGGTTCAGCTGCAGAGGGCTCTTTGGATGAGAGAATGAAGGCTCTTTGCATCCATTGAAGTGTCCCAGAAATGGTTCTGGGGTGATGAGGTGCTCTCACAACTGAGAAAGGTTGGGAAAAGCACTCAGGGCAGCTGTAGCTGAGGACAGCAATGACAAGAAGGATCCAGGCCAGCATGGCAAGTTTGGTCCTGCTGGCAGCAGAGTCCCTTGTTCCCACACTTTTGAAAACAGGAAGACAGTCCCAGGGAGATGGTGGGGAGGAAACCAGCGAGGGAGGAGCTCTGTGAGCCACTGGATCTTTGCAAAGGGCTTCTTGTTCCCACCTGGATTTCTGGTCTTGCTTGGACTCTGTGAGCTGCTGTAGCTCTCTTTCTCAGGCAATGTCACTAAGCCTCAGAGAGGAATTAATGGGCTCAGGAGTCTGAGTGGCTTAGGGAGAATGTCACTTCTAACACTTCCCCATGGGAACCAGGTACAGGAGTGGCTGCAGGGAGGTGATGGGTGGAAGAGCTGGCGGAGTCCAACCTGGCTGCAGCTGTGTGGGATTCACAAACACCCCCAAAGTGCTGATGAGGTAACTGGGGCACTGTTGGGATTGGCACATTGTTAGCAGTATGGGAATTAGAAATTCCAGGGTGAAGTAAACCAGGTAGCACAGGCTGTGCTGTGATGGGCTACTATTCAACCAGCTGGGAATTGCTCATCAGAAGGCTGGGGCAGAGCAAATGAATAAACAGCGTAAATAACTTTGGAATGAGGTAAAAGTGTGTTATAAGTTTAATATAATTAAGGTAAATTAGTCATTACATGATGGTGAGACATGGACATGTAACAATGCCCTTTAGGCATGTCTTATTTGTGTGGCCTTTATGAGTAAGGGCTGCTGGGATCCCTCTGTGGTGTAGGTGGGTGCACGAAGAGGGGAACCCCTGCACCCCACGTGATTGGACTTGTGTTCCTGAACACAGCCTCTCTCACTCTCCAACATCCAGGCTGGGTTTCCTCAGGGACAGGAATAGTCTCAGCACAAAGAGAGAAGACAAGGCAGGATGCTTTCCTGTCAAAGACTCATTATTCAAATTCAAGCTCCTCTTCAAAAACCAGAATGACAAGAAACAGCATGGCTCAAGCACCAGTGATCTCATGGGAGAAATGTTACAGGTGGGATCTTAAGCATCTAGTTTCTGTAACAGAGGAAAGCCTTGGGTTGGTTGTGCCCTGATGGATTCCCCAGGATGACTTCAAAGGAGCCTCTCTCCCCAGCTCCCAGCTCATCACCAGGCTGTTCCATCTGAGCAGGCAAACCCCAGGAGACAGAGTGGAACTCCTTAGAAGCTGGAGTCTTGGGAGGCCTTGGAGGGGTGCTTTTGGTGTCAACAGCATGTGCTAAACCTCATGCTCAGCCCTTTCCATTTGGCATGCTGTGTAACAGCCTCCCTTGCTGCTGTGCTGCCAGGCTGGCCTGAGTAGCACAAGGGTGCCTGGCCAAGGTAGTGCCCCCCAAGGTGAGGGGGCACAAATGACCATCCTTACCCCAGAGAACTTCTTTCCTTGAGCACTGCTTTGGGAGATGTGTGAGCTGGTGGTGGTCAGCATGAGCAGGGAAAGACAGCCCTGGTCCCTGGAAGCACAGCCCTGGTCCCAGTCCCTCTCCCTGGAAGGATGTCCTGCCTGCTCCCTGTTTGCTTCCTGGGGCAGAAATAGCCCTGCTTGTCTGCTGCAGCCTGGCTTGTGCTAGACATCTTGCAAGGCCTCAATTTAAACAATGAGGGACCTCAGATCACAACCTGACACCAAATAAAGGACAAACCTCAGCTGAGCTGGGCTGTATGTTCATTGGCAGTGTCCTGCCCTTGGAAGGCTGCTTGGGAGTAGGCACTCCAGGGAGAGCATGGAATGGGGTGGCTCATAGGTGGATAATTGTCTCCATGGGAGGATGGAGTTCCCACACTCAGACTGGTACTAGGGCTGTGGCTATGCCAGAGCTGTGTCTGGACTCAGCACTGCTGTTACCCACAGGAACCTTGTTCCCAGGTCTCTGCTCCTTTATTTCAAAGCTGCTGGGTTTTAAGCCCTTGCAATTTCCCAGAGAAGGAAATCCCTTGGCACCCTGATCTTTAGCACCCCTTTGAGTACTTTGTGGTGTTCCTGGGAAGAGGGATACCTGGGGAGGAGCTCACCTGGCTGGGAAATGAAGGTGATTGTTCTGCACTGTGCTCCTGTGGGCTCACATAAACCCATTCTAAATTCCCTGAGGGTCCAGAGACAGGAGTGAGGAAGAAGTGCAGAATTCAGCCCAACCATCAGAAATGGCTCTTGCTTGGATATACTGCCAAGCATCCTCAGGGCTCATCAGGGGTGTGAATAACCTGCTTTTTCTTCTCCACTACTTCCTTTCCATTAGCATAAATTTTCAGCAGTGTGCTGGCACCATGAGCTTTGGCTGCTGCTGTAAGGGACACTCCAGTGTCCATATGAAGTCCTGCTAAGGCTGACCTGGAGGGGATTTACTGGCAGAGCATAAGGACATGGACCTGAAGTGACAGCAGACATCTTGCTGGGTGAGGGCTGCCTTTGGTCAAGGTTTGTTCAACACAGATTGTTTTGTCCATTAATTGCTGATGCATAACCAAGGCACACTCAGCATCAGGTATATCCCATACAAGGGACCTCAGGTGATGCTGATGGACCTGACACATTGAGCAGAGTCAGCCTGGTCCCTCTTGCCCCTGGTGATGTTAGTGCATGCTCTGGGTATGCCTTCCCAGTCTAGGACTCCTCCTGGCTCTCCCACATCTTCTGGTGCTGAGGAAGGTGTCAAGGGCCATGCTGAAGCATCGGGGCAGACTCCAAATCACCTCTGCCTCAGAGCAGTCCCTCACTATTGTCAGAGTGCCACTCCAGTGTCACTCCTGCAGAGCTGCGTGCCCCAGCTGTGTCCAGCTCTGGGGGCACATGCCCCTCAGGGACAGGCTTAGGAGGAAGGAGCTGATGGTGCCAGGAGAGAGACACCAGCTCGTGCTGCCAGTTGGACACCTCAGCACAGCCAGGACATGGCACCAGGTCCCAGCACTGCACCCTCACCCCATCCTGAGGCACTGCTCCAGCCATTCTTTAGAGTGTAACTTTCAGGCTTTTAATTAAATGCCCATGAAACACTCATTTGAGATGCTTAATTTAAAGTGAGAGCTAATTAATTTTATGGGCCTTGGCCACCTCTGTTTCATTTCTGAGTTAATGCCTGGGCTGTACTGGTGGAGGTGCAGAGAGCAAGGCAGTCTCTGGCTGCTGGGACAGTCTAGACAGCCCAGCTGTGAGTGTGGCTGGAAGCCCCGTCAGAGGCTGGTGGTCCTGTGTGGGGCTGGTGGCCCTGTGCAGGGCTGGTACCTCACTTACCCTCCTTGCCAGGCTGGCTCTTGCTCCAGCTCAGCTGAGCAGGAGGAAAATAGGGCTGAGTTGGGCCTCTGTCCCGGCTGGTCCCACAGGGCTGGACTCACATCCAAGCACCACATCCCAGGGACACAGAGCCTGTCCCTGTTTCCAGGGACTGGCTCAGCATGACATTGCCTCACGCATCATTTGTCAACCTTTCAATAACCTTTTCTCCCACTTTAGAGTGGATTTGCTTTCTCATAGCTGGCCTCCCCAAGATCCCCAGCACCACTGCAATGACTCCCATGGCCATGGGAGCTTGGAGGAGCTTCTCCAGCAGCATCTGCTCAGCTTGGGGATGCTCAGAGCACTCTGCCCAGCCCTCCAGTCCCAGGGTGTCCCTGATTATGATCTCATTGGGAAAAACATAGAGGGGCAGCCAGCCTCCACCTGCTCTGTACACCTGTGAGCCAAATGACCACCAAGGGACAGCAGTGGCACTTGGCAGAGCCCCTTGAGGCTGGCTGCAGGGAGGCTGGGAGGCAGAGAATGAGACCTGGAGGGCAAAGCTCCAACCAGGAGCAGCCCAGGGCTGAATGAGGAAGGGAGGGAATTCCCTGCTAGAGCTGACACCAGGCCTGAGGCATGAGAGGAGAAGGTAGTGGGGAGGGGGTGTCTGTCTCTGCCATGCTTCAGACCCACTGGGAAGGGGCTATGGGTGGCTCTGGTGAAGGTGTCCAGGTGCTGAGGTCCAGCTGGGTCCCTTGGCATGGTGACCCCATCCCTGAAGAGCTGCATGTGCCACTGCCTGCACCACAGGGAACACAGATGGGTTGTTTTTGAGGGCCTGGCAGATCTGCAGTCTCCTGCTTTATGGCTGACTGTAAAGGGCCTGCTATAAACTGTGATTGAAAACATGAATCATCTCACTAATTAAGCAGAGTTATTTCCATGCCAGGAAATCTGTCTCTTTTGTCAAGATCTTTGTTTTCAAATGGGAATAAATCTCAGGCAAAGCTAAAGATTGGCTCCTGAACTCTTTATCACCAAGTAGCAGTGATTTATCCTGTGATTTGCCATGGCACCAGAGAAAAAAGAGAATTAATAATAAATATTCATTTTTAAGCCACATATGTTAGTTTGAAAGACAAGTGTCTACTAGGGAAGGCAGGAAGATCCTTTGGAATGGAGAATGTAAAACCCCTCTCTCTGATTTATTATAATTTTGAAATTTAGGGGCTCTTAGGTAAATATATGAGGATAGGGATAATAGTTCTTTACTAGTATGTATATAACAAGGCAAACAAAATTACAATAACTATGACATTAACAACAAATAGAACTGGGGACCGAGTAAAAGCCTTCTTGGCTGCCAGCACTTTCCCCTTTGGTGCAGTTACTGTCACAGCCAGCAGGAATGAGCAAAAGAATCTCGGGGTGGTGGATGAGATGTATTAGAAGTTCCACAGTGGTAGCTGGAACTCCAGGACAGTGCCAGCTACAGCATGGAGAAAACTAGAGCAAAAGCAAAGAAACAGCTGAGGCGGGGCAGCGGCGGCACAGCTCCGAGCAGGGCAGGGAGGGGTGAGGTTCAGGATTGCCAGGGGACACGAGGGTCAGGATTGCCAGGCACTTGAAGTTCAGGATTCCTGGGCACACAAGGTTCGGGATTCCCGGAGCACACGAGATTTGGGATTCCGGGGGCACACAAGGTTTGGGATTGCTGGGGCACACGAGGTTCGGGATTCCCAGGGCACATGAGGTTCAGGATTCCTGCACGAGGTTCAGGATTACCAGGGCACACGACGTTTGGGATTGCCGGGCACACGAGGTTCAGGATTCCTGGGGCACACGAGGTTCAAGATTGCTGGGTGTTATAGGTAAAAATTGATCCAGCCAATTAGATAAAAAATAAAAATAAAATTATTCACGACCGACATAGAGTCCTGACCGCCAACAATCAAAAAGTAGCGCTGACTCCGGGATCGGAGCGGGTGAACTATGGTCTGGCCTCTATTGCACCGAATCCCCCTGTTCAGCACCGAGGCCTGGCAGAGTTCGATTTTCATACTCTTTTTCTTGCCCGTGGCAGAGTCCCTTTGTCTCTTCCTAGAGTCTTTCACATTCATGCAGTGTCTATTCTCTGTCCTATGCTGGACAAAGCCCGGTCGGGAATTGATGTATATCGGTCTCCAGTTCCTGGAATCCTTCATTCAGATGTATGTCCTTGGTGGTCCTGTCTGTCTGAGGTGGACATCTACACGGGCGTCATTGCTGTGCGTTTTCTCGTTCATGCCATCGGGGAGTGCCCATCTCCTGTGCGGGCCAGGTTTTCTTCGTATGTTAATGATGCACCTCCTCCTCGGCTGTCCTGTGTGGCAATCACTCTTTCCCCTTTGCTGTCATGATCTTAAAGCTTTATTTTATATTATGTTAATAATCTTACATTTCCAGCACAAATTACCCCCTTATTCATAACACTGGGGCACACGAGGTTCGGGATCGCCAGGGCACACAAGCAGATGGTGATCAGTCCCTCAGGGCTGAGCTCCAGCAGTGCCAGTGAATTCTCCCCACAGTAAGTGATAGCCTGGCCATCCACCTCTGATGCCAAAGAGAGAGAGCAGCTGCCCCAGCTGTTGTCTTTTTACCTGCCCCTCATTCTCATGCTATCTTTGTCCCTCAGAGAGAAACTTTCAGAGAAAAAAAATGTATAGTCAGATGCTCTATTCTTCTTGTGACTTCAGACATAGTCTTTTGTCTTTTTAAAGTACCCATAAATATCCATAAGTACCCAGTAGTTAGTTTCTTAGCAACTTATGGGAAAAAAATCTATAAGTAAAAGAAAAAAAAAATAAACCCAACACCAAACTAAGCCTGGAAGTGTCTAAACACCCACCAGAGGAGCATTACCATTCCACAAACTGAGTTTGGTTTGGCTCTGAGAGCATCTTGCCAAGGCCAGCCTGGTCTGGTGGGGAAGATGAGGGCACTTTGGGCACTGCATTGTCTGGCAGGCTCGGTCAGTGGGAGATGTGTGCTCCTCCCACATCAGCTGGTGAGGATGACAAGGAGGGCCACAAATGTACCTATTTGTGCTTCAGAGCTTGTAGCCAAAGCATCAATTGATGTGATACCCCACTCTGCATTGCACTGGTTCCTGCTGAGACCAGTTTGGGCAAGGGTGGCTTGATGCTCATAACCCCTCTGAATCACCGGACTCTGGGCATGGCCTGATTCAAGGTGGGAAGGAGATTCTCTAGATAGCATAGGCTTCAGGAGGGGTATGCAGGTGCCCCAAGCCCACATCCTGATCAGGTCTTTGTTCAGTGTGGCTGTGAGCCCTCTCTCCTCCTGTCCAAGCAAGCTCAGACTCATGCTGTCCTCATCAGGGGTGGTGTACCCACGCTCTTTGCAAAGAGTCTCGGCATGACAGTAAATCCCTGCAAATGCTACTTGCAAATTTCTTTCCAGTGTTGGAAGAGCTGGAGGACCACATCAGGATGTTAATGTTGCAATGGTAACATCATTATGGCTGCAGCACTGTGCAGGTACAGTTGCCTATGGTGGGCTCTTCCTGGTGGGGTCCTGTGGTGGGACCCGAGCTTCTGCCAGCCCCCAGTCCTAAGGTTGTGCCTGGTCCTGCCAGCTCCCAGAAGCGGCCTCATCCCTGATTCCTGTGCCATTTGCTTGTAGTGCCTTATTGGTATTTACAGAAGGTTCCCAGGGAGTTACCTCACGTCCACCAATTTGTGACTCAGCAATGACAGAGCCTGCATAAACACAGGAATGAGGCACCAGCAAACAATGACAAATAGTGCAAGGTGTTCACCAAGGAAGATCGTCTGACCTGTGTTAGCAGCATCTGCACAAGTCAAGAGAGAACGTGGAGCAGCTTAGAGCAGTGGGTGCTGCAGCTGAAGCCAGATGTTCATGTTACTACAATGAAGAGGAAGGAACCCCAGCCCTGAAGCTCCTGCTCCTTAGCCTCCACTCTCTGAGTGGATTTATTTGCATTCATGTCTTTGTGGCAGCTCAGCCGAGCAGCCCACAGCAGCATGCTTGTAGTCATGCAGAATGGACTCAGCAATGCAGCAGGAAGGACCATTATGGTGGGGTGTGACTCTGTATCTTAGGTTGGAAATGCAAGATGTGTCTGGGGTGTGTATTCTATTGCCACCTGTTTTAGACATGGGGCAGTTATCCTCTCTTAATTAGGCCACCTGTTAAAACCAGGTGGGGCAGTTTTCTTTATCTCTTCCACAACCAATCCTCCCTGCAGGAGATCTTTGCTGTTTATGGCCAGTGAGTGTCCCTGCATGGCTGATAAAATTACATCATTCCATTAGGAGAAGCTCTGCCTAGGGGGGAGGAGCCAAGCATTCCTACCTGGATATAATCTGAGGTTTGGAATGCTACAGGCAGCCTTTTCCCACTGCATTCCCAGAGGACCAGCTTTCTTCTCACACTGCATTCCCAGAGGAAGATCAGGCCCATCTACGCCAGCACTGAAGTTTTCAGAGGAAAACTCCACCCTTCTCCAGGATCCCTGCTCCACCAGAACCACATCTGGCACTGCAGGAGGGCTGCAGACACCATTTAATGGGACTGCTGCCAACAGCTGGTCCCACAGGGTATCAGGTCTTATTCTGATTCTGTCAGTGTTGTTCTATATTACTGCATTTTTATTTTAATTTTTTATTTTAACTTATTTCTTTTAAATTATTTATTTATTTTATTTATATTTTCTTTTCATTTTTTTCCCTAATAAAGAACTGTTCCTACTCACATATCTTTGTCTATGAGCGCCTTAATTTCAAAATTATAATAATTTGGAGAAAGGGGGTTTGCATTTTCTGTTTAAGGGAGGCTCCTGCCTTCCTTAGCAGACACCTGTCTTCTCAAACCAAGACACTCTGGGATGCCAGAAGCTGCTTACAGCTGGGGCTGTAGCACAGCTGTTGTGGAACAATCCTCACATTGGCTTGTCCACTGTAAATGTGGCCCCAAAGCCCTCATCTGGTTTACAGAAGGTACCAAGTAGGGATGTCACTGCCTCAGGATGGTGGGGTTCACCAGGATTCTGGTGGTGCATCCTTGTGCACTGCTGTGCCTGTGTCCATCGCTGCTTGAAGGCTGTGAAGTGACCAAACCCCTCTCAGCTCTGTAGAAGGCTTGGGGCTCCATGAAGGACCTGCAGGGAGGACTGGGGGGCATGCTGTGTCCCCCACTACCTGTTTCTTCTGCAGCAAACCAGGTTGGGATCTCTTCTTCACAGCCCTAAATTCCAGCACCACCCCAGCTGTTTTCTGCTGCCTTCAGAGCACTGGGAGGAAAGGGTGGGGGCTTGTCACTGTCAAAATGCTGTTAATTGGCTGCTCAGGCTTCCTTCTACAGTCTACTCAGACTTCGCCTGAGCCACTCCAGTCCTGCCTGAGTTTACAGGGAAAGCCTGGAACTACCACTCAAGCTCACTTTGAGACCTGGGGTACATATCCATTCCCATTCCAGAAGGGAAGTGGGGAGCACTCCTCTCTTGTCACTGCCCTGGGTGTGATGGGCACCTTGAGGCTCACACTGGGGTCTTATTCACCAGACAGCATGGGAGTCAGGGAAGGGTTTGCATCCACATCCACACCCATATCTACACATACGTGAGTGATTTGTGCTGTGACACACCATGGCCAGTGCCAGGGACAAGAATGTGCCACTGGGCAGAGGGACAAGCGTGTCTTGCTGCAGAGTGTGGCTGACCTGGGGCTCTGCAAACCAGTTTTGCCATTCCAGATGCTGGGTTTGCTATGAGTGTCTTTATCCAGCAGCAGCAAGCACCGATGAGATAATTAGAGCTAAAACACGGAGTGCAGCAGGAGAGCACTGCCCTGTGCTGTCAGGAGCTGTGATGTGTTTGGAGTTGCTCTTCCCACAGAACTAGGTCTCCTGTATATGTGCTGATATAAAACCTGCTCCCTGGGTGATTTTGAGTGACAGGAAGAAAACATCTTTATTACCTTGAAAAACCACTAGCACACATCACTTCTGCCACAAGGCAGATGGGCACTGCCAAGAGTGAGAACCAGCTCAAGAGCAGGCAGTGGTTGGGGGGAACTGGAGAGAGAGCTGGCAGTGCCCTGGGGCAGCAGAGCTGTCACCGTCAGTGCAGAGAGCTGGGGGGCTCTGAGTTGTGCCTGGGCTCCCCAAAAAGCCCTTTCAACCCCTTTCATCTGAATTACCTCCAATCTTCAGTCCACAAACAATTTGTATCGCTGCCAGATGTTTTCTCCTGCTTTAAACAAGGGATTTTCAAGGAGATGATTTTCAAAACCCATCTGTATAGTGAAGAGCAGTAGATGAGAATATCACTGACAGTACAAAAGGCCTGGGGAAGGGTGTGAATGCTGCTGGAAAAGCTTTTTAGGTGAGTAGATGCTCAGGATTGCTTTGCCAGTGTTTTCAAGGCATCTACCATTTATCCACAGTATGCTCTAGGTCACCTGTGGTGGCCCTGAGGGGCTCAATTCTTGCCCCCAAAACACACAGAGGGATTTACTAGAGAAAATTTTAACAAACATTTCTGATGGTTTTAACTATTTCTTGCTGTCTGGGAGACCCAGCACAGCCAGCACATCAGTGTGTCCTGGCAGAGCAGTCAGGCAATACGACCCACATTTTTTGTTGGCTACTAGTAATAAAACAGCTCCAGAAACTGTTCAAAGGGTCACAGTCATCAGGGGGTCACTTGTGTTGTTCTAATGTAGGTCTCGGGTGAAAAGGAATGTTTGGGACCCTGGGGATGATGACACCCTAGTGTGCTGGTGAGGACTGTGAGGGCTGTGGGGCCCTGTGGGTCCAGGGATAAGTACAAGGATGATGCTGTGTGTGGCCAGCGATGATGCTGTGCATGTCTGGGGATGATGCTGTGCATGACCAGGGGGGATGCTGTGTGGGGTGCAGGGGGGATGTGGCTGCAGAACCAGTTAGGCTGGGCTCTCTGGTCTCAAGGTGCTGGCAGAACAGGCTGACCAAGTGTTTTGAGGACCTCCGCAGCCCTGTGCTCACTTCCCACCCCCTTCCTCAGGACCCCATCCCATCTCTGTTCTATTTCTGTCAGTCTCTGGCTGTTTCAAGCTCTTTTCCAGGGTGGGCTGTCAGGCTGGCTGTGGTATGAAGCAGAAGCTCCTGACATACCATAAGCACATGGTGAATAGCGAGAGTCTGCAGGAGCAGTGGGAGATGTGATGGAATGCTGCAGAAGCAGCTTTGAGATGGCAGTGAGTTGGGAGCCCCAGGAGTGAGGAGTGGCTCTATGCAGGAGCTCCAGTGGCTCCATCCCCTCAGCACCCTGGAGCAGGAGCAAGCTGCTGGGATACTGAGAGTGTGGGCTAGGAGTTGTGCAGGAACTACAGCATCTGTAAAACCCTGGCACTGTCCTTTCTGTTGGTGAGAGCCCTCACCCTTGCCCTTGCCTTCACCCTGCACCCACCTGTACCTCCATAGAGAGTGGTGGTAGGTGGAGACAGCTTTGCCCTAAGACCAGCCATGCCTGGAGGCAAAGTTTCTGCACCTACAGTACTGGGAATTTTGCTGCCCTGTTTCTGTGCTTCCAGCAGGCACCATGGGCTCCCTGGAGAAAGAAGAGTAGCTAATGGTTCTTCTCATCTTCCTTCCTGCACAACAGCATGGATTGGGAAAAGTGGGTCAGTAAGGGGCTGAGACGGGCTGGTTCCTCTCTTCTGGGCTTTAGCCCTCAGCAGCTGGGAAGCCCAGCACCCTCTGGCAGCCAGAGCCTCCTGTGGCTCCTTGTGGGGTGAGGGAGATGGAAGAAGAACAGCAAGTTCCAGATTAATTGCAAGTTCAATGACTGTGTACATGAATATTTAATTATCTACATCTGTCATGAATATGCATGATATGCAGATGTGAATGGGAGCCAGCAGAGAGGTGGGTGTAGGCAGGAGAGCAGAAGAGGTCTGGAGTGGGAGGAAAAACTGACGCCAGTAGCACCAGCTCCCAGGGAACACACTTGTCCCTGCACTCTGGCACACAGGGACACCAAATGGAAGGAGCTGTGGGCCTGCAGGGGACAGTCTGGGGCAGGCAGCATGGCACCTGGGGTGGTGTTGGCACCTGGGGTGGTGTTGGCACCAGGGGTGGTGGGTGCCTGCATTGGTGAGACCTGCTGTTACACCCACATCTGCACTGTGCAGAGCAAGCCTATTCCTTTTGGCAGGGAGAAGCAAGAACACACTGAGAACTTCCCTTATGTCTGAGAACATATTTCTCAGTACTCCTCAAGGACTCTCAAAGAGCTCCAGAGATGCCCCAGGTCACAAAGAGCCAGCAGATGTTCTACAAGCCAGGCACCCCAACACCCCATCTCAAGGCACTGCTGCCAGATAAGAATAATCTTCTCACAGGAAGGAATTCTTCCCTGTGAGGATGCTGAGGACCTGGCACAGCATGCCCAGAGCAGCTGTGGCTGCCCCTGGATCCCTGGAAGTGTCCAAGGGCAGGTTGGATGGGGCTGCAGTGAAACAGATGCAGAGCAAGGTATGTCAGGGAAAGCCTTATAACCAGTTCTTGTGGGATTGTTACGGTGATTAGTGTTGCTGGGGCTAGGCTGACAGAGGCAGGTACTGGGGTGTCAGCACAGAGCTTTTTATTACTTGTAATTACAGCGTGAAATAGGTTTGTTTTGGGTTGGGTTTTTTTTCTAGCATTAGGAAAAGCTATTATGATATGGGGGCAAGACTGTTACTCTCCTTAATTTTCTCATAAAGAATACTGTTGGTGGTTGTTGGTGGCTCCTGGGGCAGAAGGGCCATGGTAGAACCACATCTGTCCACTGTCCCCTGCCTCCTCTAAGAGCACTCAGCACTTGGATATCCCGTCAGGTGGCTCTCTGCCAGCCAGGTCTATGCCATGGGTGTTGCTACTTCTCCTAAGTTTTCATAAGAACAGCTCAAGAGGAAAGAAATATACTGCCTCAAATTCTCTGGAAGGATTATTTTGGTTTAAAACAGAATTTCACATCAAAATACATGAAACACGTACTCTAGTTTCCTCCCAAAGAAGAAACAAATGTTTCACCCAGCCCAAGCTTTGGTATGAATGTGGTGGTGAAGAGCCAGTGTCTCCCCAGTTTCCAGCAGATGAGGATGTGCAGGGAGAAGCTGGCTCTGGAAAGGGCTCCCAGCCGTTCCTAGAGGATGGGAGGGGGCTTGTCTGCTGACACTCCAACACTGTGCTGGTTTTCCCTCTCCAGCCCCTGTTTAAAAGGGATTAGCTTAGAACACAAAAAGCACTTGCTTTACATGGCTGTTTGATGTTCCCTCGGGCTGGCTCTATGCTCCCTCCGGAGCACACAGAAGAGAGCACATGTGTGCTGCATTAGCTCCTCACTGGGGTCCTGCTGGGCAGTGTATTCTCTCTGTGATCCACTCCCAACCAACCGAGTGATGCGAGGGTTGCAGTGGAACTCAGGGCTCACTGGCGGCTGCTGCTGTGGCAGAGGGTCCCACTGGCCCCACCATGGTCACTCGTGCCATCCTCCAGCTCCTGTCCCTCCCAGTCCCACCAGGTAAGGCATCTGATGGATCATTGTCAAAGGGACTCTTGGAATAGGTCTCCTTTTCCCTGCTTCTTTTGCCAAAATGTATTAGGCAGTATTGATGCTGAACACATTTCTTGGATTCTTTTAAGCATTTTGTTTCCCTGCACTGCACAGATTGCAGCAGTAATCTTCTGTTCTGAAAAATCATTTAATATTTCTGAAC